TCATAAGCATTACCAATTGATATGAACAGTCTTTGATTGTTCAGGTCTCAAACAAAGCACAGCATCAACAAAACACCATAAAAGTAGAAACGATCACTATCTAAAAGGGGCATTATCTTTCTCTATGGGAGTAGAAAGAGCTGTGTGATGTACTTAATTCAGGAGGGCACATAGACTGCGCTGCGGATTTACTGACGAGTCTACGCACCAAATGTCAGGTCTACAGGCTTCACCTGTCTGAAACATAATCAAAAAAGGTACCCTGGGGCAACTGTTCAAACGATGACAGACATCATGCTGTTTGCGGACAGACATCATACTATACAAGCAGCACTCTTGAGCTTTAACCCAGATCTGTAGCCAGGGTATCCTCATAACAGGCACAAACATACCTTGAGATGATACGACTTGTAAGATTTTAACTAGTGTTACTTTATCAGACGACCGTTTTGAAGATCACTACAGGCTTTGAGAGTCATCAGAACAGAGTGGAAAATATGCACCATTATGATTAGTGATCGAGTTCGTACTGTTATCTTTGCCTGCTGCCCGTGAAGTCGATCAAAGGCAGTTTACAGCTTTACTTCGAGTTTCTGAAATTAGCACACCTGAAAATAACACTCGACATCTATGATGGAGAAAAAACCTAGACGATATACTTCGTGTTTCATGCGGAATGAAACTGTATACATTTTCTAATAAATTATCCATTTTATGAATCCCAGTAAATCACGCACAACTCGAAACGTACGCTAGACAGTTCCGGCAATAAACTCTGTACTCTGAGTTATCTACTAAAAATATGAAAACCTTTGATTTATTATTTGTAATTAATTCGATGTAGTTAGTTTCACTGTACAGCAGACATACAGTGCCAGAGTAATCTGCCTTCCCTAAGACCCCATTCTCATTTGCCCATGTCGCTTTCCATCATAATCAATATGCTACAATACGTCATGGGCACAGAAGCGCAATCACTGCGTAAAATACGCTGGTGACACTGCGGTCATCTCGTCTGGGAGCCAGTTTCAGAGGACTCACTTTCAACAAACAGAAATAGTGAAATGTACATTCTTGATGGAACGCCACCAAGCACAGCCAGCTGTCTCGCGAAGAGACTGGTAAATGATAAAATGGTTGTTCAGCGTACTTTACTTGGGCTTGACCATAAATGACCAATTAATGTGGAGTGATCAAGTAGAACTGATTGCAAGAAATCTGCGGAAAGCGTCATGTAATATTATACGCATTTGACGCGTTTGGCGTTCCTAACGAGGATCATTGTCGTTTTATGCCAAGCTATCATCCCGATCATCATCAACATTGCTCCTGTATATTTTGCGGGAAGTAGTGTTTCAGAGATTTCCCCATTTTATGCCGAGATCACTAGCACAAGCAAGTGGACTTCCTTTCCAGCATATTGCCTCAACGCTGACTGAGACTGTAATTTCGAGCACAGTTTGCCGTATCAACAAAACCTAAAGCAACGAAGAACACCCACTGCACTATCATATGGCCATAGAGAGACGTTCTCTGCATGGTGGGAATTGCCTGAATTTAATCTGTATACCAAGAACACAGGCCTTTTGCAGACCCGTTATTCCTCATCGCAATTTTTTAATGAATCTCAATAACTTGAAGCAATGTTGAATCTCTATGTTGAAGAGAATGTAACATCTAAAATAATTTTTAGAAAACACTGAAAAAATATTTACCTAATCGTCTATTTAATATGGATATTGTATAAGAGCATCTGCCTATATAAAGTGAAGCACTGCCACTGAGAAGCAGCTAAACTTGAATTAGCTAACTCGTGGTAAATTGCACTGTTCACAGATTTGCTACTGGATCCTGGCGGCAGCCGACATATGCTTGGAGTGTCGGAAACAAATATAAAAGAAACACGAGTTTAAAACAAATAAATTTACACAACGAAAATGGAATCCAAATTTAGTAGCAAACGGGTTTCAGATAGTAATTTAAATTTTGAACGCTTCTGTGAAAAAGCAAACCAAATAACTGGTTCATTTTGTCCAGTCGAGGTCAAGAACTAA